CCTCCTCCACCATCTCCATCACCACCACCTCCCTATGTCTATAAGTCTCCTCCACCACCATCTCCTTCACCTCCTCCTCCATATATTTACAAGTCTCCACCACCACCTTCCCCCTCTCCTCCTCCTCCCTATGTGTATAAGTCTCCTCCACCACCATCTCCTTCACCTCCTCCGCCCTATGTGTACAAGTCTCCACCACCACCTTCACCCTCACCTCCTCCTCCCTATGTGTATAAGTCTCCTCCTCCACCATCACCATCACCACCTCCACCTTATGTCTACAAGTCCCCACCACCTCCATCTCCATCACCCCCTCCTCCTTACATTTACAAGTCTCCTCCTCCACCATCTCCATCCCCTCCCCCACCATACTACTACAAATCTCCACCTCCTCCATACTATAACTGATCGCTACACCAACATAATAAAAACCAATCCAATATCTTTCCTCAGTTCAAGTAAGCCTACCATACTAAATCTCAAATTTAATTTTTTCACATCAACTTCCAATATCTAGTATTAATGTATGTATCTCTTTTGCATATCAGGTTTTAAATTGAAAGGACCAATAAAAACACTAGCTGGCGCAATCAGATCAGTACGTCATGGCTGTCCAAGAATAAGGATTCTCTGTTGAATTCCATATGCTTCACATCATTATCTTCAGAATTTGATTTCTTATATTGTTATTCAGTGGCATGATAAATGTCATTTTTTTTTCTTGATTATTACAATTAATTGTTTCTTACATTTTCTTAAATAATGAAATAATTAAGAAGTTTTACCTCCTTGAAGCAACAAACTTTTTACATTTCGACGTGTGAGACTGTGACCTCATCAATCTTAAGTAACATATGCAAAAGTTTTGATCATATGTACATAAGCAAAACATACTCCTGATCCAGTTTGAACAGGGGTTGATAGTGACATGCTAGGTGTTTGTAGGTTTGCTTTTAGTCTCTAGACAATTTGGTGCTTAAGCACCCGAAAAATAGAAAAGATTATAAGTTAAGATTTTATAAGAAGAAAATGTTTAGCCTAATAAACTTTAAATGTATCATGATTAGTACACACTCGGATTCAACACCCGGGTGTGCACCCTCTACATAAAAAAAAAAAAAAAATCGATTGTTGTCTTTTTTTTTTTTTATGCGAAATGTGTACACCCGGGTATTGAATCCAGATATGCAAACATCATTTTTCACTCTAAATTCCTCTTTTTATAAAGAAGGAGAAAAATGTGCTTTCTATGAATCAAAAGAAATGCATTAATTTATTGGAAGCACAATTGGAACTTGGAAGCTCCAACCCTTATACATACCATTTCCACAAAAAATACCATGCACGAAAGTCTAGCAATGCAGCAAGATCAGAAAACAAGAAAATTAAATAATGATTAAACGCAAATTCGGACGTTTATATTAAATAATGATTTTTTATGCATATGCTATATAAAATAATTGCCTATATATGGTTGCTTACAAAAAAGTGTAAAAAAAGTTACCAACAGTACAGAATCAGTCTACGGCCGAACCAAACTTACAGGAACAAATAAAATTTGAAACCTCATCAAACTGAAGTTACTTTTTTCTCTCATCACCATCAAGAATTCATTGACAACAACTGCATCCTAGGCTAAAAGGCTCTCCGGACATGGACCAACATGCCAAATGAACCAGTCCATGGCTTTCTGCTTTAATATTAAAGAGTTTTTTTTTTTTTTGTTCAATTTTTAATGATTATTGCATTCTACTCCTCTAAGTTGTAAGGATTAGCTTTGAGTAATTCATATTATGGTCTGCCTTCTTGTCTGTTTGCATTTTTTTTGCTGCTGGATTAGGTTCCTCATTAATTCTTCTCCAACAGCTGCTTCGGTAAGTTCTGATTTGTATGGAGCTACAGATTTGGATGCATGTGAGCAGATAAAGGCACGGATGGAGCCTATTGCTTCTCGTCATAATTTTAGCTCCTTTGCTGAGGTGTTCTTGTATCCCTTTATTTCTGCATGTATAAATTACTGCATGGAACAAATTGATATTACTGGTGAAATCTGGCAAAGAGTATAATTTACTATGAGGTGGTGGTTTCGCTGGGAAACTGAGACAGCATTTCCTCTTTTTCTTTTTTTTTTTTCTCTTATTTCCTATAAATTATCTTCTAAAAAATCAATTGACGATGGGCCTAGTGAGTAGCGGAAGACATATTCAGTGGTCCATCATATGTTTTGATACTATATTGTAATCAAAATACTAAATCAATAGTTATATGGGTCTTAATATGTTTAAACCATTCTTTCTTTTCACATTTTTTCGATTTAAAACCCTAATTCTTCACACTTATAAGGGAACAATATATTTCAATAATTCCTCTTTTCACTTGAGTTGTGAAAACTTCCATGAGAGATCATTTTTTTCATTTTTTTCTTAGATATACATACATGGTTTTTTTGACATAGATCGATGATCCATGAGTGACTCATCATAAGCATAATATTATTCATGGAGATATTTGTTATGGGTTTACATAATATACACTCTCATTTTGCTAGGCCTCCCCATGACCGAAATACCACTGGCTATGTTATACCACTGGGTCTAATACTTTAACAAGTCAGTTGTTTACTGCCACCAAGAATATGATAATCGATATTGGCAAAATCATTTTGTTTTTCACATTATATCCAGCTGGCTAGAGCATG